CCAAACCATTCTCTGATTCTATGAGGTATTTAAATATAATTTACTGGCCTAGATGAACCTTTAGGCTTATCCCAGTATGGCCGTTTTCACATGATGTATAAATTACATTTTCTGGAGTTTCATGGCCAGTAACATTCACTTGCCTACAAAGCTAAGTAATTCTTAGTCTAAAGATGTCTCTGTAAACAAAATGTTTTCTGATGCAGTTATGTTTTTATGGTAGTCTCTTTAATTTTTAATCCAATGCTCTTGCCTCCTAGGCTATTAAATAAATGGTGTTTTTTCTCTCCTTTCCAGGCTGTGAAGTAATAGCTGTAAATACCCGATCTACTAGCCAGACTTTCATTTACAAATGTGATGCTGTGCTGTGCACTCTTCCCTTGGGAGTATTGAAACAGCAGCCTCCAGCAGTACAGTTTGTGCCACCTCTTCCTGAGTGGAAAACTTCTGCAGTGCAGCGCATGGGATTTGGCAACCTCAACAAGGTGACTCAGTCATTGGGGAACTGCAGCAGACCAGTGGTTGCAATAGGTAGAATCTGAGCAGTGTATTCAGAATGTATAGTGGATGAGAGGAAGAATGAACTGCTTTGTTTTTTCCACTGCTGTTTTGCTAGATTTGGATGTTGAGAATTACCTGAATAACTCTAAGGACCTCCTCTCTATTTCCCACACAACTTTTAAATAATTAAATTTTAGAAGTAGGTCAATCCAATATGTGTGCTGTAGCTTGTTAACCACCAAATTTGCTATGAGAGCATACTAACCTGTGGAAGGCAGCTAAGGTATACACCTCTATGTATTACGTACATGCAATATATATACATAAATATTCACCACATTTTCCTTTCCTGTCCTTTCTGGTGATAAATATCTATGAGTATAATTTTCTTTATTATTATTTTTTTCTGTGTGCTTTTCCTAACTCTTGATTCTTTTTGTTTCTAGGTTGTGTTGTGTTTTGATCGTGTCTTCTGGGATCCGAGTGTCAATTTGTTTGGTCATGTTGGTAGCACTACTGCAAGCAGAGGAGAACTTTTCCTGTTTTGGAACCTGTACAAAGGTAGCGGTGGTGCATGTCTTCTTTCACAGTGTCTTATTTGTTTAGTTCTACATAGAGAAAACAGCACTTTTTAAGATATTGTTAGTGTTCCCACATGGATATGATAAGAAAATAGTATTTGTAGGAAAACAAATGGAGACAGAGAGCACCAGTGACTTGAAAACAACTCTGTAGTAAATTAGGCCAGAAAATGGACAAGTATGGGTTTACTAATGTGGAATTCCTGTCTATCTGTTAAATTGCATTACTACCTAACTACTGTAACACCTGCATTTTTATCATAGAATGGTAGAATGGTTTGGGTTGGAAGGGACGTTAAAGATCGTGTAGAACTTCACAGAGGGGAGCACCTCTGCTATGAGGACAGGCTGGGAGAATTGGGCTTGTTTAGCCTGGAGAAGAGAAGGCTCTGGGGAGACCTTATAGCACCTTTCAGCAACTAAAGTTGACTGAATAATTGCTAAAAAGTTCAGGGTTCTCATTGTGTCAAGGATGACAAGCTAGGAAAAAGACAAAAAAATTCCCAATGCCTATATATAATAGGAAGCCAGGGTTGTCTTTTTCTTCCTTCAATTGTTTGAAAGACTAGGCTTAATCTTTCAGAAAATGGAGTGTAACTAGAGGGGCAATCGTGTCTTTTTTTCTCTCATGAACTGCTTCAAGTCCCAGAGGTCCTGTTTTTTGAAGAGTCTTAATTGTATCTTGAGTGGTTTAATTATCTTTGTAGTAATAACAGCCTTACTAGTCTAACTTCTTCAGAATTTCAAAGACTTTTGGTTTTAACCAGAATGTATTATTTGGTCTTGCAGCCTGTACAGTGCAACTGAACTTCAGCGAGTTTTCTTTAAAGAATAGTAACTTGATGGGAATGTATACCAGGAGATCTCCATATATACCTGGACATAAGGAATTCACTAATCATTTTGGAAACATGTACAAAAGTTAAAGCCAAATTTTTAACAAGGACTTTATTTCCCATTTCAATATGCTTGACATCTGTTTCTAGCCGTAGAATTTCATTTGCTAAATTCAGGAGTTCATAAATCTCTCCAGGAGGAGAAACAACAACAGAGTTTTCATTAAGTAACTGTGCTCAGGTCTTAGTCACGTCTTGTAAATGCCATTGGGCTGTTCTGATAGCTCTTCAATAGTTGCATAAGATTTTCCTTGAATTTGTGACCATCAAAAATGTATACTTAGTCTTACTATAGCTGGTCAGAGGTAAAATAACCTTATCTACTTGTTTGTCTATCCTGTAATCACATTAACATGCTTCACCACTTGTCTTCACTAAAGAAATCCTTTCCTCTCTTTTGTATGCTGTACTTCCTAGTATGTTTGTTTAGGTTTTAATACATCAGTTCTCATGATAATTGTAAATAGTACCATAGAATATATTAATTCATTAATTCATTTTCCTTTTGGTAATTTGGTGGAAGATTTATGACTACTTTTGTTGGGTTTAGGCTTTAACTTCATAAACTAACTGCAGATCCATGCCTATTCAAGTCTAACTTGTCCGATTAAAATGTTCAATTTCAATAATTCAGTTGTTTTTTTCCCCCCTCTGCCCAGCACCAATTCTGTTGGCACTGGTAGCAGGAGAAGCAGCAGGGATCATGGAAAATATCAGTGATGATGTCATTGTTGGACGGTGCCTTGCCATCCTGAAAGGCATATTTGGTAGCAGTGCTGTGCCACAGGTTTGTACAGACAGCATCTTCGGGTAACGTCTCCGCATTTCAGAATGCACTGCAATTCTCTCTAGCTTGGCTGCAGTATTGAGCTGTTCGGTGCATGTACCACCTTTGGGTTGTTCAGGACTTTTTGGAAGGAGGGGTTGTTAGTGAGTTTGGGCTTTTTTAGAGATTTGGGCTTTTGTTTGTTTTGAGAAGACTGTTTCAGATTGAGTAAGGCTAGCTTTTCCAGAGTGTCAAATACTTCAGTTAATTTTCTACCTTTTACATTTCTGGAGTTATAGCAGAGCTCTCCATGGCTGGTAACAGCACTGCTTAAATACTCCCTGACATGTTCTACACCTTCTTTTAAGTACAGTAAAGGTCTTGACCAGTAAACTTCACAAAGAACCTGGTTTGGCTGGAAAAATAACTGAAGGGGGGAATCTTTCATCTGGATCAGTTCCCTGTGCAGCTACCCAACAGTTATTGAGGCTCAATAAGTGTAAAAGGAATGGGTAGAGAAGGGGAGGTTTAGAAAATACTTAAATATTACTAAAAAAAAAGAAGCATGTGTCCTTGGGGCATCAATTTGAAAAGCCTTACAGCTGTTCAACCTACAGTGTTTGTGATTTAATTGAGTACTTGGTCTGTTCTCCTAACAGGCAGTGTGGAAGCAGTTCTCATATACCAGTCTTTGAGCATTTGGGCAGGTGCAGATGGGTCTGTTCACTTGCTTCGTATTTCACATGAGGAATAGATTCACTTCGTTGTTCTTATTGTAAAATAGTTGTAGAGCTCTACTGGAACACGGCTTTATCATCCCCATTATTTTACTGCTTTCTGTATGATGGACAAATCCTCACAGCTAACTTAAGCATGGATTTTTAGTTAATGAGTGGATCTCATATTTTGGAAATGCTCAGTCAGTTGATTTAATGTCTCGGACTGGAGAATACAAGAGGAGAAAAGGCTTGCCTTTCTGATAAATCCACAGTTCTTTCTCTGAACTCTAATAAGACAATGTCACTTCCTAATGTGACTGAATCAAGTGTGATACATGTGATAACATAGTGTCATCACAGTGGTTTCCATCCAACAAGTTGGAAAATGGGTAGTTACTTCTTTCTTGAGAAGCAGTCAATATACCAGGGCTGGCTCATCACTCAGTTTTTTACCATTTTGATTTTAAAAGTGCTGAAAATGGTGGTGAGGAATTTTCTCAATTAAGTCATCGGACCATAGTGGGACATGTGGTCTCCAACTCCCAGTGGTGTCTTTACACCTTGGAACATGGCCTCAGTCCTCTCTGGCCCTTCCACAGACTCAGCAGAAGCCATCATATGTAGTCCAGCTGAGGCCAGCCTCAGATCATCTCAGATCTGTTGGTGTTGGGATCCAAGAGACTTCCCTTGCCGTGATATGGTATGGTGCCTGCTGGGCTGGTTTCTGGATAATGCCTGTGCTAGACAGGGCCTCTTCCTTTGTGGGGACGTCTTGCCCAAGGAGAGGAGGTGAGGGATTTTTCATTTTTACAGGGTATGATTACTGTTAAGACTTAGTTATATATTTTCACAGCATCCAGGCTATTTTCAGATTCACAGCTGTTACTTCTCAATGTTAATGTGTGCAAGGTTATGAAGATGCCCCCATTTTCTTTTGACTGCTGTTATGCCTTAAAGTGCTACTGGTTTGAGTCCTGGTGATGCTCGCTGTTACATCTTTCAGTGGAATGTCTTTCATCATTACTATTGCCTTGGCAAGTCAGATAAATAGGGGAAATACAGGTGTTCGTGCAGGTGCCCTTCTTGAAGTCGTTTGTCCAGATGAGTTACAGAACTTATATAGGCCTATATCATAGTCTAATTAGAAAGAGATATTCAGATGAGCTGTGGCTAAAAGAAAAGAGTAGGAAGTGTGCATTGTTGTTATGTTGACACTAGGAGAAGAAACAGAGCAAACAGTATGCAGTGTTCATGTACAGCTGACTACAAAGTCGGAGTACCAGTTGAGAAGCTATGTGCAGTAGGGTCTGGTCATGTATTGGAAAGAATTAGGGTATTGCCACCAAAGACAGGTTATTTACATTAATGTGTTTTTCATGGAATATAAATTTGGAGTTCGACCATTAATGTTGGCCTAAGGACTTTGTGTCTTATTTTCTTGGAATTTGTCTTTTGTACTTAGTATTAACTGTAAAACTTGCACTGTATCAACAACTGAAGTTTCTGTCTTGTCTCAGCCTAAAGAGACTGTGGTGTCTCGCTGGCGTGCTGACCCATGGGCCCGGGGGTCATACTCCTATGTGGCAGCTGGATCTTCTGGAAATGACTATGATTTGATGGCTCAGCCAATTACTCCAGGGCCAGCCATTCCAGGTGCTCCACAGGTGAGAGATGTCTCAGTTCTTTCTATAAAAAAATCAAACCAGAGTGATATTTCTGAGTAATTTGCATACATATCTAAACACAGGCTTAGATAACTTGCATCTTCTGATGAATTATTAGAATCATAGAATGATTTGGGTTGGAAGGGCCCTTAAAGACCACCCAGTCCCACCCCCTGCCATGGGCAGGGACACCTTCACTAGACCAGGTTGCTCAAAGCCTCGTCCAGCCTGGCCTTGAAGATGGCCAGGGAACCTGTAGAATAACTGAGTTTCCATCCATCGATTTTGCCTTGCAAGGTTTGGTGTCATTTATTTACTAGAAAAAGAGCATTTTTATTCAGACAGCAAATTTGGTAATGTCTGGGCAGAGTATTATGATATTACACATTTCCCATAGACTCACCTTTGAGATCACCAAGTCCAACCGTTAACCCAGCACTGCCAGTACCACCACTGAACCATGTCCCTGAGCCCCTCATCCACATGGCTCTTAAATCCCTCTCCATGGATGGTGACTTCCCCCTCCCTGGGCAGCCCATTCCAATGCCTGACAGCCCTTCGGTGAAGACATCTTCCCTAATATTCAATCTAAACCTCCCCTGGTGCAACTTCAGGCTGTTTCCTCTTGTCCCATCACTTGTCACTTGGGAGAAAAGACCAACCCCCACCCCTCTGCACCCTCCTTTCAGGGGGCTGTAGACAGCGATAAGATCTCCCCTGAGCCTCCTCTTCTCCAGGCTGAACCCCGCCAGCTCCCTCAGCCGCTCATCACAGGATCTGTGCTCGA